TACACAAACAGAGACACATGCACACACACACACACACACACACACGTCTTCCGTTCGACCAATAGGAAGCGGCGGGAAAACTTTTCGCTCAACAGCATACCTTCTGGTGGAGCTTGTTTTCCTCAAAGCCGGATGCGGCTAGTTTCGAGGCCGCATATGTACGTGCACGTGTGTCCTCTTGTGTGCATGCATGAGCTCGGGGTCAGGGTGAATGAAGCTATTTCATACCGCCACTCCTCACCACCCAAACCCATCCCGCCCACAACAGGAGGCAGAAAGTGCTATAAAGGCGCCACATTGTCTGCAGGACATGTCTACGTGGGTCGGAGGCAGCCGAGGCTGAAAGAGACCCAGCGGCTCCATCGTCGACTGACTCACCCACATTCGTGCCCGCAACCCCAGCCTCGGGGAGCCCATTTTGCCGACCTTTCTCTGAACCAATGGCCTGGACCGGATTCAAAACAAACCTGACCCCTCGAGGGGTCAAGCCGGTGGGGCCGTGGGTATTGATGCGATCTTATCTACAGACGCGCTTTCGCGTCCACGACCTCATCGAGGATGGGACCGCTTCATAAATTGGCGCAACCAATGGGGTAAATGTTTAGGCCCATTGGCCTCCGAAGGGGCCAGAGGGAGGATTGACAGGGAGACTGGGGTCTAGGCCCGGAGACAGAATGTCTGCTGCACCAGACATCTCGTCGCCTCAACCCCTTCGGCACCTCCAGAGCATGCGGTGAGGCTGTGGTCCGACTGGCGGCTGACGATGAAAGGGGCCGGCGACAGAGATTGGCTGATGGTAGGCGGAAGGGTGGGCGAAGAGGAAGAGGCGACAGGAGGCTGAACGGCATAGAACACTGTAATTATGACGCACGTATGTTGCTCAGGGAAACGGCAAATGAGGATTGGTCACACTTCGGTGCTTTGGGTTCAACATGGAAGAGGGACATGCAAGTAGCGGACAGACGATTAGGCTTCGCTAGACAGGTTGTGATTTTCGAGCATGCTTTGTTCGAAATGATGGGGCTAGCGCGAATGCAAATTGTGATTTGTTTCTCCGTAAGAATCAAGGCAGAACAGATGATGCTTTAAGGTGGTGATGGGATTAACAAATTGTAGAATACTTCCTCCATTTGTCCTGTGAGTTTTGCTTATATGAGAACCATGGGCTGATGTCAGATTGAGCCCATTTTGCAGACTCGTCTCGAGAAACCCTTGGCTTTCATTTGGAAGAAAAATATTCACTTAAGTTAGGTTTCGAAACT